GAATCTTATGTTTGTAATTAGACTTCATGGTAATTGCAGTATAAGGACTATTTATTTTATAAGTAAGCTTCATAGCAATAGTTGTATAAGGTTTTCATTTGGTGATTAAGCACTACAGCTATAATAGCAATACAAGGATCTTTTGTTTGAAGTTTAATCCTCATATTTGCAATAGCAATACAAGAACTTTATATTTGATAATTAAACTCTATAGCAATAAGTAGTACAAGAAATCTTTCATTTAGTGATTAAGCTTTGCATAGAGATGAGTTGATGCATGTGCATAATTTCTTAACTATGTGTATTTTATTCTATCACTATAAATTCTTGACTGGGTTTTATATATAAAGATAAAGTAGCTATATTTAATATTAAATTATATTGTATTTATTTATTATACACGAGTATGCAATTTGTTATAAGTATAAAAGGTTAATTTAGATGTATTTACTTAGAGTAAATACTTAACACTTATAATATAAAGCCTATGAATAACAGTGTACAGATTTCTATATATTTTTAATCTTATATTAGGTATACAATGAAGAATAACAAAAGAAAGGTAGTAGTTTTCAGTTATAAAATGTGTTAAGCAATCAATAATTTTTTTTAGCTTTGTTAATTTTGATTTTATTTTATTTGCAGTAAATTTTTCAGAGTGTATATTAATTTTAATATAAATAGCAGGTATAGAGATCTGAGAAAGGTTTTACTATTTTCTGCATATATAATTATCTGGTTCAGTATGACACTGCATGCTATACAGCTATCTTATAATTCTAAATAATATTGTTTAGACTCCTGATTTTAGTATAACACACACATCTACTTTATAATAATAAAATTATCTTACATGTAAAAATATATACTGATTATTGCCAAAATCAATAACTTAATTGAATCAGCCAAAAATCATTTTATCAGATATCTCAAAATTTATAAAAATAGCTATAATTGATGTTATATGGGCTACTTGAACAACAATAGCTATGACTCAAGTAATCAAACTCAGACTAGTCTGCAAACTTCAGACCAGACCCAGACCAGACTTAGACTTAATTAAAAAGTTTGAATATTAAAGTCTGAGTCTAGTCTGAAAATCAGATCAGACTCAAACTTAACTAAAGTCTAGTTTGAATCTAATCTATAGGAGCACTACTAGTATTATTAGACCAGATATGATAAGTATTGTTGAAATAAATACCAATAACATACATATTAGAGTAATTTAAAAAGTTAATAAGCTTATATTTAGTAGATAAACTATATATATTGTTCTGAATATTAAAGTTTTTAAGAACTATTAGATAAAAGTTTTGATCAAATGCTTATTTAATTTAGTTAATTACTGTTTCTTGTATAATATTTCTTTTAGTTGAGTCAGTAGAAGAGAGATAGACAGATATAATATAAAGTTTTTAAAGAAAAAGTCTAGAGCAATTATATCGCCAGAATATGTTTGGCAGCTATATGTAGTTTAAGATAGTTATAGATCATAATAGCAGTTCCTTTAGCTGAGATCTCAGAATTAGCTTAATAGTAGATAAATAGATTATTATTACAGAAGAATAGGTTAGGTTTGTTAAAGATTTTTGTTTCTGTTATACTAGCAATAGTAATATTATTATAAAGATAGTAGTCTTGACATACTTTTCTTTTAGTTACTAAATTAAAGCCTCAAATATTATAAGTAGCAATATTAAGATGTAGGCCTCTAATAGGGTTAGAATAGGGAATTGTTATTTTCACCATGGCTTTTTGTTATTTTCACCATGAGTTACACAAAAAATATAAAAAATTCTATTTTTAACAACCAATTAAATTTAAAAAATTGATTTTTTTAAATTAAAGAAAATTTTATTAAGTTAAGGTTTGTTGGGCTTCTAAGTAAAGTTGTAGAAGAGACTTTTCTGGTTTTAATAGTAGTTAGATCAACAAAATCAGCTTTGTGAATCCCAAGATAATTAGGGTTAAAGATGTAAATATAAAGAAAATTAATTTTTTTAAAATTAAAGAAAATTTTATTAACACAACTCACAGTCAACTCTTTCTAACGATCCTCTGGACAACGCAACAAAAATTTGAACTACAGAAAAATGCTATAGAAAGTTTTAAGGAAATCACTATTACGGTCCTGTTATTGAGTAAACAGTTGTCAACAAAGCCTGTAGATGTGAAATACCAAGGAGCGGGCATAACTTGGGCAGTTTTTCTTGGGTCAAGCTTGTTTTTCTGATTTTCTTTGGTAGACTCCTCAAGATATTTGGCATCCAAACCAGAAGGTTTATTCTGGGAACTGAACTTACCTTTGAACAAGTTGCTGTTGACGAAGTTGAGAGACGTGAAACACCAAGGAGTAGGCATATCTTTTATGGTTTTTCTTGGGGTCAAGCTTTTCTGTTTTCTGGTAGACTCCTCAAGATATTTGGTATCCAAACTAAAAGGTTTATTCTAGGAGCAAGTAGTGGAAAGGCCCTCGCTATAATAGTAATAGTCTTGGAACCAACTATACAACTATAAAACTTACAGAAGAACCTCACATACTCTCGTTGGCCCCCACTTTTTTTTCAAGGAAATTTTGTAAAAAATGGGTGTTTTAGCTTACCCCCTCCAAAAGATCGATGAATTTTTTACTTACCAAATCAGGTGACATTGTTTACCTTTTTTCCTTCCGTCACAACAAACACGTGGGAAAATACTTAGAAGTGGGCATATAAACCTGTGCCTCAAATGTGGCGATCTAGACAAACAACATTTTGAGCCCAATAGTGCGATACTCTGACAACTCTATGGTGCCAATTGTCGAAGAAGGTCTCCCTGTTGGATTAAATCCTTAGATATACTGGATATATAAATTAGAGTAGAGACTAGTTTAGATAATAGTATATAGTTTTTAAAGAGCCCGACACTGGCTTATAATTGTGACCATCCTTCACTTTAGTTTAGTTTTTTTTTCGTAATCCATTTACCTCTTTTATTTCTCCTATTTGTTTTTTATACGTATTTTAGTATATATCTTTTTTTTTGATCCTTAAAAATTTTCTTTTTCTTTCACTTCCCTACGAGAAGATATCATCAGTTTGGTGATATCCTATTGTAGGGCGGTGGTCGGACGAGCCCTCCGGTTTGGGTATTATTTTAGGATAGTATCTTGCCGGTGCGGCAGGTTCGCCTGTAGGTTAAAATCGCCACCCAAAAAAGTTTCATGACCAATTATATCTCAAGATCAGGTGTAACGTAACACAATCAAGGAAATTCAAAACAAACGTTCGTTTTGTCAAAAATCGCCTATAACCCAAAATTTAGTCTATGAAACTGCCTTCTGCGCATTAATTAAAAGTTTTCCTTATAAATTTTTGCTATAAGAAATATTTTAAACATCGATCTAATAATAAAATCCTAACCATAACCTAAAAAACGAAATTTTACTTGAAACTTTTTTGGGTGGCGATTTTATTCTAGTTTCATAATCCTTGCCATGGGCTGGATTTGGTTATTTGTTGACCTGGCCTATTTGGAATTGCATTACTTGAATGTGCTAGGTTTGTGGCGCAGCAAAATCCTTTAATGTTCATTTTGTTAGAGTTAGGGTTATGGTTACGGGTTAGAAGAAGGTAGTTTATATAGTAAAATTGCCCAATAAAATTTTTAATTAGAGCATCAAAAGTGGTTTTTTATGTAGAATGTCGAGAAATAAGTGATTTTTGACAAAACGGACGTTTGTTTTGAAGTTTCTTGATCGTGTTACGTTGCAATCTATGCTACAAACCTAGCACACATTCAAGGGATGCTTTGGAATTACGGCATTGCGTCACGATAATTACGGCAAATAATACGGCAAGTGTCTTAGTCGTATTAATTTGCAAAATTAATTATCACCAACTATACACGACTGAGATTTAACCCTAAAATTAGTACTTACATTAGATCTTAAAGTAGCAACTCTGGGAACAACAAGTACATCAAGATTTTTTTAAACTAAGATAGCAAAAACAATTTTTTTTTAGTTGAATTTTATTTAAAAACTTTTTAAAACTTGATTATTTTTATTTACAAAAAACCCTTTAAGATTTGATTTTTATTTAAAGTTTCAAAAAACTTAGATGTAAGGCGATCTTGGTCGAATTTATTAACAATACCATTTCACATTTGTTATCCATATCACAAAAAAAATTGTCGGTCCCCGTGATACAAAGCTATTCCGACCACAAAATTATAACTTTTAATATAATCTACTAGTGCATCCGTGCCTGGTTTCTTCATAAATCTTGAAATTATGTGTCAAATATAGAATTAAAGTTCATTTTATATATCTTTTTATATCATATTTCTATATAATTGTAGTAGTATCAATCATTGCATTTTAAAGTATTTTGCATTGCTAAAGCTGTTCGCTAGTGCTGTTTTTTTCTATATATACAATCGTTTTAAATTTATAGTTTTATTAAATAATGAATTATCTTTATACCACATACATATAAAAGATCTGGTATAAAATTGACCAATATTTATTTATACGCATAATCTAGAACGGCATTTCTATTTCACTCTGAATATTTGATTGTTGCAAAAGAATTTAAATTTATTCAATACAGTAAATAAAAAGTAAATAATAAACTAGGTTTATGTTGGATCAGTGAAAGTTAAAAAGATAAAGAAAAGGATTAGAGGCCTAATACAGCTAATAGAGTTTTTTTGTTTTATAACAGGTATAGGAGTCAATATTGTAAAGAATCTTGAGTTGATATTTCATGCTTTATGTAAATGTTTGCTATTTATAGTATTTCTTTGTTGGTTTTAGACATAGTAGAATTATAATGACTTTGTATTTAAGATAGTGATTTTGGTAATTTGGTAATGTTTGAGCTATAGGTCGGGAAATATTTAGAGAAATCTTAGCTGAATACAAGTTAAATTTTGTAAGTTGTGGGAATTTGGTTCTGCAATGCAAGAAATAAAAAAATTTTACGACTTTCTTAAACTGAATAATGCTTTGTCTATTAAGAATTATTAATTTGTAAACTAGCTAAAAGATTCTCTAATTGAACAAGCTCTATTTGCTTATTAAGAAGATTATGTAATTCTTCCTTGGTAAAATTGTTTTCCAAAACATTTTGAAAGGCATTTAATTGTCCCTTCGTTTGAAAATATTCATTACTTTCTGGTCTAGTTTTTGTAATTTGCCTTTGAGTTTCTAGGAGTAGGTCGATTATATTTCCTAGATTATCAGTTTTAGCTTTAGCGTCGATGACTAGTTGCTTTAATTGTTCGTCTTTTTTTCTAACTTGCGGTGCTAATTCTTGCCATTTAAGACGAGTAATTTCTTGTTTAATCTGAGTAAAATTATAAGATTGGCTGGGAGAAAGTAGGTTAGAAAACGCTTCAAGTTGCTGCTTTAACTTTTCTAATTCTTGATTTTGCTGCTTTAACTTTTCTAATTGTTGATTTTGCTGCTTTAAATTTTCTTGATTTTGCTGCTTTAACTTTTCTAATTCTTGATTTTGCTGCTTTAACTTTTCTTGATTTTGCTGCTTTAACATTTCTAATTCTTGATTTTGCTGTTTTTCTAAATTTTGATTTTGCCGGTTTAACTTTTCTTCTGATTCTTGATTTTGCAGCTTTAACGTTGCTAATTCTTGATTTTGCAGCTTTAACTTTTCTTCTAATTTTTGATTTTGTAGCTTTAATTTTTCTAATTCTTGATCTTGCTTTTTTAACTGCTGGCATAAACTATTAATTGTTTTACAAACTTCGCTGTCAGAAAGTTTTCGAAAATCATTCCTTGGACCTCTCCAAGTATTATTATTAAATTGTTCTATATTTGTGGGCACATAGTCTTGATCTAACATTCCAGCGACACCATTTACTCCATCAAAAGGATTATGCGATATATATTCTAACCCAAAAACATTTATCCCTTTTAAATCTAGCCTTTTTAAATTAGTCCAATATCGCAAGGAACTTAACTTTCCACGAATATTATTTTTGCCAATACTTAACATTTCACAATTAATGAAAGGAGTCAAGACATCCAAATTATAAGAAGTTATTCGATTTTTGAAAAAGGCCCAACCATGTTATTTTTTCAGGATTAGGCAAACTTTTCAAGAAGTTTAAGTCAGTTAAAAAAGCAAGATCAAGAATTAGAAAAATTAAAGCTACAAAATCAAAAATTAGAAG